TCCTTACATCTGCCCGGTACCCTCTCCCTCTCCCAAAAATCTGAATGCTAGATATGCCATCTTGTTCTTAAAATTTTTAAGTACTTATGCTGAATGTTTTAATATTGAATTCTTGTGGTATTAATTGGTTTTATAATAGTATTGAACTATTTTGTTGTAAACCGCCCTGAGCCCCTCGTAAGCGGGAAAGGGCAGTCAAGAAATCTAATGAAATAGATAAATAAATATCTACTTGCAATTTCTTGCTTTCAAACTGCTAGGCTGGCAGGAGCTGGGACCAGAGATGGGAGCTCACTCCGTCACGCGGCACTCGGGTCTTGAACTGCCGAACTATAGACCTTCCAGTCTGCAGCTCACTAGTAAAAAGAATGCATCTATTTGCAAATACATATTTGTGTGTAAAATAGTGCAATGACCCTGTTTATATTATTGTTCCTCTAGAGAAGAGACATTAATGATCATTGAGCCTGCTAGGGTTGCCAGGCCTGGCCTGGCTTTGCAACCAGTGGAAGACCGGTAGCCGTGACCTGGCAGCAAAAAATAAAAACACACACTATGGGTTGAAAGATGACATCTGGAGACCCTATAATGTAGAAACTACCCATAGGGATCCCTATTGTGGAGCCCATGGACAACTAATGATTTTTTCTTCCATGCACTAAGGTATTCATGCACCCCTGCATTGATCCTGCAGGTCTCTGTTTTGTGCTCAAGGAGTTTCTTGTGATTGCCAGCAGACAAATACATTACTGTCATTATATTTATTCAGCCTGAACAGTCAAGGTTGACAATCTACAGTAGACAGACAAGTTAGATGAGTTGTGTGTGATTTAAGGAGGTTCTTGCCCATGGGCAATCTATGGCATAATAAATATTTTCTATATTTACTTACTTCATTTGTATCCTGTTCAAGGCATCTTACAAAAATTTTAAAAACACACAGCACAAATACAACAGTATAATAATACAGCAGTCAATGCAATACACTGAGTTACAAAACTTTAAAACAATGCAGTAAAACAGTATAATATATACAACAAACAATGCAATTAAACTGTAGAACATTTTTCAAAGACATTAAAACTACAATTTTATTCCCTTTTTAAAAAATGCCCCCCCCAAACAATTCTGTTCATTCTGTGGAATTATAAAAGCGTGGGAGCCTTCCTGACCTCATCAGGCAGGCCACTCCCTTTTAGTTTTTAAGGTGTCGTAAGAGTTATTATTATTATTATTTAACTATGTGGTGCATTTTTATTTTTGCCCTACCTCTCAGGAGCTCAGGACAACAGACATTGTCCTCCCTTCCCTATATATATATATATCCTCACAAAAATCCTATAAGGCAGGTGATGCTGAGAGCTAGTGACTGCTTGGACCAAGGTAAACCAGCAGGCTTCATGGCAGAATGGAGATCTAAACCCTGGCCTCCCAGATCCTATCCTAGTCCAACATTCTAACCACACCAAATTGGCTCTCACTTCCATCACAGGGTGAGGTACGGGGGGCGGGGCACATGACGAAGCCCCGCCCCCTGCTTCCGGCCACCCTGCTTCCTGTCCTCATTCAGCCAGGAGGAGGCAGGAGAAGAGGGAGGGTAAGTTGCTTCCTCCCTGCCTCTCCCCACCCCTGCCTGCCTGGGGCCAGGGAGGGCCTTCGCGGGGCTTCCTCACACTCCCGCTGGCATCGCAGGTCCACCGCCGGGCCCCTCATGGGGCTCGGCAGTGGAGCTGCAAGGCCAGCAGCGGCGGCCGGTACCGTTGGGGGCGGGGTGTGTGGCCTTATGACACACTTCCGGTGATGTCAGGGGGTGTGGCATATGCTAATGAGTTATGCTAATGAGTTCCCCTAGCTCTTTTTCTACGAAACGACCCCTGATCATATGCAGTCAATCAAGTCTAAACTCATGTAATTCAATTGTAATTTTGTTTGGCTGCTTTGAGGAATGAACTCTATAGCATACCCCACAGAGGTCCCTCCCCTCCCCAAACCCCACCCCCAAATCTCCAGGAATTTCTCAGCCCAAAATTGCCAACCCTATCGGGCAGGCTGATATGGGGTGGAGGTGACCCTTCAGGTCCTTTGGACCCAAGTCATTACAGGTTTTAAAGAACAACACCAGCACCCAGAATTGAGCCCTAAACCAATCTGGCAGCCAACGAAGCTGGTATAGCACCAACCTGATGCCATCATTAAAGTTAGGGATGTCTGCTCAGACAAATCTAGTGCACCCCAAAAATACCTTATTGGTATTTTGACAGTATATCTGGGTATCAAGATCGATATTTGGGATTCTTAGGAATTCTAGTATCCGGATCTTGAATATTTCTGGAAATATTTGGGAGTATTCAGGAATATCTGAGGCCAGCATTTTAAGGATCCCAGAACTTTTTTTTTTAATTTAACAGATTTATTTGGCAACAGGAGAGAGGGAGAGGGAGTCAGCTCTCCCAAGCAAATTAGATCACATGTCAAGGGGAGCTCTAACTGTCTACCAAATCACAATTCTCTCATAGCCCATAGTATTTCAAGGATAAAAAAGTAGGCCTGGGCCTGGCTGCAGCTTGACTCTATTTTAGGGTGAGATTTTTCAGAGTGCTGGTGGACCACAGTCTGCTCTGGTCCTGTCTGTGCCTTGGATTAATTCTGCTGCCTGCCTCTCTGCCCAGAAAGACCCTTCTCTTGTTTTGTAACAGGCCTGGCTTGCACTTTGTTTTAAAATATTATTTAAATCGTTATTTCAAGATTTCCTGTGTTTTTCGTTTTGCACAATGGGTTGTAGTGGGGGAGGGACTTTGTTTTCTTTCTGATTATTTTTTTTTAAGTTTCATTGGCTTGGTTTTGTGCTGTTTTGTTGGGGTCTCTTGGCTTGTTTCAGAATGTTTTAATTTTAACTGCTTTGCAGTTTCATTTTTTAAAGGGTTTATGCTTTTTGGGGAGGTGGATTTCCCAGGTTGTTGCTGTTTTAAAAAGTTTATCTTTTGACATTGTTCTGGTATTACAGTTGTTCTATAATTGTTTTATAGACATTTCTCTGTTGTACTTTTGCGGGGAGTGGTCCAGTGAAATTGTGAGGTAGTCCTGGCTCCTTTTGATCAAGCACAAGACCCACAAGTACTCACAGAGGGAATCTCATCCCCTCTTCATCTGATCTTCCTCCATAAGGTATCTCCACTTTCCGCTCCTTAAGATCCCTGCAACATCTCTCCTTTTCCTGCTCCCTCCCTCCCACCCCTCCCTCCCACCTATCTATCCCCATATGCCACTTTCCTTCCAGTTCTTCTCCCCACCATAACTTCTTTCCTTTTCCTGCTTCCCTGCCTCACTTCAGTTCCCCTTTGTTCCATTTATCTCTCCCTCCCTCCCAGCTCCATATTCCTTCTTGTCTTTCCTGCCTGCAAATTCCTTTCTCTAGCTCACCTCTAGTGTCAGAACTGAAGCTGCAGTAGCCATTTTGGACTGGCAGAGTTGCCTTGGCAATCCGAAATGGGTGCTGGGATCTTGTGAAGAAATATTGCAAAATCTGGTCATTGTAAAAATTTTATATTTTAAGATTTTCTTTCCCCCAGGTCTCCCTTTGTTCCACTGTGGGGATTTTTTGATCTGCATTCTGGAGCCAGGTTTGAATGTGATATATAGATGCCAGCTGAGACCATTCCTGGAGAAAGTGGGTTTGACCAGTTACCTCTGCTTTAATAACATCTAGACTAAATAACTAATATTTTTAATATGAGGCTGCCCATGAAAACAGGTTGGAAACTTCATTTGATACAAAATGTAGCAGCAATTTTGGATGAATAGTGACTGTAATTAGGGATGTGTACCTGAAAATAATATAGTATTACTCAGATTTTGTGAAGGACATAAATACTGGTATTTGGATCCCCCAATATCATTTCGGCATTTGGGTTGTCCCCTCCCCCCGATTCTGGAATTATTCAGGTTCTGTTATTACCTATATGGAATGGAGGGAGGGCTGGAGTGACTATTTTTCAACAAAATCACATAAAAATTGCAGCAGATCTAGTACTATCTGTCCACTAATTATCCTCCAAGGTTCAAATGAATTGGACCAAGAGGTTTGATTATAGACTCCTGAACAAGGTTCAAGCAGCTATCCTGCCAGTCTCCATAGTTTATCTGGGGAAGAAAAATCTCATGCTTTCTCCGGAGCAAAGCCCATGGTCAAGCACACAAGAGAAAGCAACCACTACCCAATACCCTTCCAGTTCAAAGAGAACCAGCAAGCCCAACAGAACAAACAATGCATTGTTTTGCTTGTGAGTGCATCAAGTAGGTCTCTCAAGAGGCAGAATATAAAAGGTAAAGGGGCAAAGTGGGACAGATAGCCTGAGTTATTCTTAGTCACAAACAAGTATAAAAACCTGAGGGAAAAATGTGTAAAAAAATGTGTAAACTAAACAACGTAAATGCTATCCTTCAGAATAAGCATTTAAAGCTATAATTGTCATTAAAAATAATACTAGAACAATGTATAGATTATATTTTTTTAAAAAAATAGGCTGATAAGGCCATTTACTGCTTTAATTTTTCTTACACATTTGCTTAAAAAGGAAATGTGTTTCTCCCTTGTTGTATTCCATATTTTTTCATATTTTAAGTGCCATGTCACATGTTGTTCCTCAGTCTAGAAATCATTCATTGTTCCTCACTTACAGCTTGAGTGATGTCAGGATGAATCCGAATGTCACCAGTATACCCATCAGGAATTGCTCATTGACACTCCAGCAACCAGCAGAGAGAAAAATGCTGTCAGCAACAGCTTGACATCGCTTGGTTTTACCACAGAGTTTGTTGTCATTCCTAGAGAGGCATGGCATCACTTCCAGGATTTCTCAGAAGTCACATCATACTGTCAATGACAGACATGCCCCATGTCCCCTCCCCAGTCCTCTGCTGGTTGCCAGGCCTGGTGTTCCTATACAACTCAGCACTGAGTTTAAATGGATCAGAATATTTATGCCCTAAACTGGCCTTGTTTAAGAAATAATAACTTGCAATTCATTTCTGCAACTGCTGCTTGCATTGTTAATCTCTCTGTAATCAGTGTCATCAAATTGCCAACCAGTAAGATTGATCTCTTGTAAAGAACTCAATTGGGTTATCATATGGCATAGTGACAGGACCAGCTCAGAAGAAGGCTGAAAGGTTTGCTTTCTGCTGAAATCTAGAAATGTTAGTTTCTGGAGATTGGGTAGTACACGTAGGATGATGAGCCAGCCATCGCTTGTCATGTAATTCTCTGCCATGTCCAGAT